AATTTATATAAGTAAAGATTAGCATTCATTTTCGAATTTTGATTTGTTTTAATTTACATAAAATTAAGGATATGAAACCTAACAATTTACTTGTTGGTAGAGATGGACAATTAAAAATTGCAGATTTTGGTTTGGCGCGAGATTTTGCAGAACCACGCGTCAAAAACATGTCTCCACAAGTTGTTACTAGGTATTTCCTATCCTTTTTTTTTTTTTTAGAATTTGAACAAGGTCACAAATTTTAACAAATAATTCGATACTCAGATGGTATCGAGCACCAGAATTATTTTTTACGCCAGCACAATATGGTTACGCAGTTGATATTTGGTCAGTAGGATGTATATTTGCGGAATTAATGTTACGAACGCCATATCTTCCGGGGGATACAGATCTTGGGCAACTTGAATTAATATTTCAAGCGTTAGGAACGCCCACAGAAGAAGATTGGCCGGTATGTTTATATCGTGAATTTGCAGATAGGTTTACATAATAATTCTAACATTTTATTGATATATATTTTTAAGGGATTTACTGAACTTTCAAAGTCAGTCCAATTTCAAAAGTATACTAGAACACCATTAAAAACACTTTTTACAGCAGCAAAAAATGACGCGATAGATTTACTAGAAAAGATGTTAACATATGATCCAAACAAAAGGATTACAACGCGTGAGGTTAGAAGCAAAATATTTCATTGCACTCTTTTTTTTTTTTTTAAAGCAACAATGAATCCAATATATTGATATTGTTTCAGGCTCTACTTCACCCCTATTTTCGTAATAAACCGAGGCCTACCACTCCAGCAAAATTACCGAAACAGGATCAAAAATCACAAAATTCTAAATAAATACATACTCTTGCAAGGATTGAAACGAAGATGGGACTAGTTGAAACATGACATCTTTTTGTTTAAAAATAAAGTAGCATTCTACATTAATAAAATAAATATAGAACATTAAAATTAATTTAAACCATATTACCATAGCAAACAAAATGAAAGTGATCAAGAATATATTACATTATACTATTATACAGTATTGTGCTTTATTCATCGGTCAATTATCAACATCTTGTTGGTGAGATTGTAAATCTAATAATTTATTAAACAAAGTTTGATGAAAAATTTCACCGAATTTAGGACTCGTGGTTAACAATAATGCATCCATCGTTTCAAAAGGGTGATTAATCCATTTGCTGACAGTTTCTAAATCTATATTGTTGACCTCATTAGCAGTAGGATATGGGCTCGCGTCCGTAATCTATATAGGAATTCCGGGAGGCATAGTGTTTTGAAAGTATAGGGTGCGAAAGTTTTAGTGGAGCGTTTTAATAAAACGTAGATACACTATACGCCAGTGTTGGCCGATAACCAAGTCTCTTTATGACCTTTATCATATAATCATATGACTTTTTGGTCATAGTCACGTCGGTCATTAATAAAAAATTTTTTACTATGATTCTTATTATAATAAAAAAGGTCATAAGTCATATCAACCTTCGTTATGACCGAATGTCATAGGCCAACACTGCTATATGCACGTACAATAAACCCAATATCTGTGACGCTGATAGTTAATTGAATGTTTTCAAGCAAACAAAGCTGAAAATTTGAATTCTCTCCCGTCGATTTGGTTTCTTGAGAGATTTTTATAGAATTAGGTTTAACGCCATATTCATATTCTGAAAGTATGTTTGTGAGTTCTTTAGACACGAAAGCTGGTGTGGAAGTTGGTGTTGACATTTTTATGAGGCAGTCGAATTATGATTAGTGGAATCTGATGTAAATGTAAATTGGATCCGCGCAGTAGGCGCAGCGTACATAGATTTAAATTTGCGCATATTCATATATATAATGCGCGTATAAATTTCTTTTTTGTGCATATTTTTTTTGCGTTTGCGCCAATAAAAATTTTTTGAATTTTTATAACACTGCGTGGAATTCATGTTTATTGACTATTCAGTTTGTCAATTTGTTAAACCTTCCAAAATTGAAGGTTCGGTTATTATATTCGATCGAGTGGATAATGAAGACTATCGCTATATTACTATATGTACAGTATAATATACTACACAATAAAGATCTCAGTCTACGTACGTATTTAATTTACAAATCAATTTATATTTACAAACATATATATATATATATATAATATAATATATATAATATATGATAATATATATATCGATATGTATATATTTGATACGCGTCTTCCTTTTATCAGCGCATAAGTGATAGCGATGGTGCATTGCTTGACCGCATAGACTGACTCACGAAAACGGATGTATCTATTGACGGATAGAGTCATTCAGATACCAATATGTGAAGAAATAAAACTCTTCTACCCAATTTTTACAAAAGAGTAATTGCCCCAATTTTATCAGCAACAAACATATTCGTCCCAATGAACGTCACAATACTTTTTTAAATGCCAACTTCTTGGTTTTTTCCATTTGCGTTGTTTAACGCCATGCATTTTTGTAATATAATAATAATACTTTTCATCACTAAAATATTTTACAAATTTTGGTAAACCGTCCGTACTATGCACTGATAAAAGCTTAAGTTCCAATGGCACCTCATGTGATGAAGGTGATGATATAGTTGAGATTGATAGTGAATTTGATGAATCACCCATTTGATTTATCAATGTAGAAGTTAGCGGATTAGATGTATTTGGAGGATTGTTATAGTTTATTAACGATAATGACGTTCTAGGTGAATTCGCCAACTCACGAACTTCCGGCAAAGTACCATTCTCTGTCATGGGAGAAGTTGGGTTTGGTAATGATGCCGATCTGTATGCAAAGTTATTAAAAATATCTTTTTTCTGCTGGGACGTAGGAGATGGGTCGGAAGATACTGAATTCGATCGAGGTTTTATAGGTTTTTTGTGTGCTGTCAACAGTGACGTGGATGTAAGTGTGGATCGTGTGTGCCATTTAAGTTGTATTGATTCAGTTTGCAAAAGTTCACGACATGATCTACACACGCAGCTGTTCTCGTGAGCGTTTGTGAAATATTCCGTTGGCGGTAATTTTTCCTATTTTTACGTACAAGGGAAATTTTTTTTTTAAAAAAAAAAATTTTTATGAACGGTAAATTCGAGTGGTGCATACCTTATCAACGCGTTTTACAACCATCTGCAAATAATAATAATAACAATGATAGTAATAATAATATTATTATTAGTTTATATTCTAATATTAAGTATCGATAACATCATGAAAATTGTACCTTTTTTCCATCCTTTATTCTCTTGACCGTTATGGTTTCCGAATACTTGCCGGTTCCACAAATCACCTTTTCTTTCTTGCCTCTTTTCAACTTTTTAAATATTCTAGAAAATTTTTTTAAAAATCCCCACTTTGTTATATTTTTTTCCGACCCTTCATCATGATGTTTCGCACATTTGGCAATAGTATAAATATTTCCTTGAGAAAATTGATTCAATTTTTCGACCAAAGTTTTTCCGCAGCATTCGAATGCACAAGGCGAGTCTTTAAGTTCAATTGGACCTACGGAATGACGTTGGGCGTGTCGCTTCCGGAAATTTGATGTAGGTTTTTCATGATGATGGATTCTATTATCGTCATTTTCGTTTATTCGTGACGTTTGTGAAAAGGTAGATTCTATATTTTCATCGATATCGTTTTCCGGAATATTAAATACAACGCTGAGTGGGGAATTTGGCATGTGGAATGAACGAGAGGGTGAACCGGAAGATCTGGCAGTAAGTCGTTGTGAAAGAGAAATTGTTGGTCGAGATTTGTAAGGATGTGTTAATGAAGGCGGAGATGACTCTTGACGTGGCATTTCCGAACAGTTCGATTGCATACAGAAATTTTAAATTTCGTTCGTTTTTTTTTTTTCTTTCTTTTGACAAGGATTTTATTATCAAAAAAAAAAAAAAAAAGGTTGGCGAAGTTGTTGATAAATTTTTTTAGGGGCGGGATGAAGAGGAAGGAGCATTAACCAA